AGAGAAAGAGAGAAGAGAAAAGAGAAGCTATTTATAGATAATGTAATCATGTGACAGACTCCAGATCGCTGCGTGGGAAAAATTATTCTTCCCGTGCAGACAATCTGACTGGTTGGCATTGACCAATCAGCGAGCGAGCTTTGGGGAGACTTAAGAAAGCTTCTGGGATCCATTTCTCCCAAAAGTGCACAAAATTGACTACATGAAAACAGAGCAATTACAAAATTGTCACATTGCTGCAATTTGTAAATTGTCTATAATAACGTAGTGGTGATTTATTAACCAATGAATGCTTGTCATTGTATGTGATTTGTATCTGTGTATGTATGTATGTGTGTGTGTGTTCAATATAGATCAGCACAATCTTAACCTGTTCAAGGCTAAGTTTAACCATTATTTTCCACTCCTATACACACAAATGGCCTCCTAACATAATTCTCTACTTTGAGTGAACCCCAGGCCTTGTAAAGAGTAAACCTTACTGTTAAAAGAAAAAAGAAAAACAACACACACACACACACACACACACACACACACACACACAAATGAACTAGGCAAGATGTTTTAAATAAAGAACTCAAAGTTAGTCAGTAGAAGTCCATTAGAGTCAGTTGGAAAGAATTCACGAAAGGATGTCATGGTGAGTACCTAAGCAAGACATAATATTATAACTACTATAAGTGAGTTATAACAAATTTACAAGCATCTTATGGAAGAGCAGATATGTGGATAAACAAAAATGACAAACTGAACATTGAGCACAATAGTGAAAGTATATTCCCAACAATAAAATACCAATATTACTGTAGTAAATTATAAAATTCTGTGTTAAGCAACATAGAAATTGTGAGTTCAATCCCTGGGTTAGGTACTGCAGACTTAGACTCAGTGGAAACAGAATGATGAATAACAGAGCAGTAGAAAAAGAGAACAAGATGAGATATCCCTAGACACAGACAGCAAAACAAGAACAATCTACCACTTAGATTAAATAAAGGGCTCAGTTCAAAATTCCTTGAAGGTTACCTGTATTAATAGACACCTGAAGAAGTTTGGCAGAAACAATTGATGAAACATTATAACAATAACAAAAAAGATAAGGTCAATAGTCCAATTCTAAATAATATAAATAAAGAATCAGAATTTTAGGAACATGGTCAGACATGGAACTTTTCAGCTGTTCATCATATTTAAATGTTTTTCGAAGTATATATTAAATTCTGGTTTTCCTGTTAAGGAAATAAAAAAGAAAAAAAGAACAAGTCCAAAATAATTTGTAATGACTATCAAATGTAGCATGTACTTGAGAAAGACAAAAACACATATTTGCCAAAACAGTGTTAAAAATAAAAAAGATAAAAATGTGAGTATTAATTTTGTTTTATTCTGTAATTGACACAGTAGAAAAAAGATGCACATAGAAAACACAAACGAAACTGTACATATATATTCATGAAATTATATAAGTAACTTTATTCACCTATAACCCAGCTCTTCCATATGTGCAAATCTCAAATTTCTATACAGCATAGAATTTTTCAACTAAAAACCAGAGTTTTTATAACTATTTTGACAGAAATAATTTATCACGCATTGACCAGACAAAGAACTTGGTCTCATATTTATTCCATATATTATTTGAACTATTGTCTTCATCGTTATTATTTCAATAAAATGTTTCATCAAATATATTCTTTTGCCTTTCTCTAGTGTATATTGTATCCACTCTAAAGAGTTTTTTTCTTTCTTGCTTTTGTTTCTTTAACAATCTTGTGATACTGCTGAACTGGAACGTTCTTTACCAATTCAATAGAATCACAGGACCGGATGTTACAGCTATTGATAAGAACAAGTAAACAAAATGGAAATTTATTCTCTGGTTGATTCATGGTGTGAAAAGAGTGATGGTTCCTAGTGTCAGGAGTTTAAAATGTTATTTTTGAAACAAAAACCTATCCTTTTAGACACAGATGATCACGACTCTCCACTGTTTCCTTTTTTAATATCTGCAACCAGGGAGCTACTATGATTAAGATAGTGAAATGCTTTTCCATTGTCTTTTGAGTTTGGAATTCAAAATGGTCCCACTATAGTGATTACTAACCAAAACTAAGAAGTCCAGTCTACCCTGGTAGGTGTAATGTGAATTCATGATTTTCCCCAAGAGTATTCATGTGAAGTGTACTAAGCAGCCTCAGTTGTAATTTGAACTCAGACTGCCAACCCAATTTTCCAAACTGATAACCATTCAGTCGAGGATTTGTAATGAACATGCTTTGTTTAAATTACTTTTTCTAACCACTGATTTGCATATGATACTAAAACTGACAATCATTTTACCTTATGTATTCATTGTTTTTTAATTTATGCAATTTCTTTCACTCAATTATATTCTTTGTTATTTAAAGCAACATGCTTTATCTTGGTTGTTATACTCACAGCATTTCGACTATTGTTCCTCCCAGCCTTTTTTGGGTGTTTGCCGACATGTGCAGTAACATTCTTGTAATTTTGAACAAAAAGATTACTGAGTACAAAGATACCCAAAGAAGGCCGCAAAATTATAAGTATAACAAACAAGGTAAGCATGCTAGTTCAAACAGCAAAGCATATAATAAAGATAATTGCTCATCTAAAAAAATTCTGACCAAATATTTTGTATAACATAATACACTTTTCCGGCATTATTTTTATCCCATTCAGAAAACATGAAGACAACTGTATGAATAATGATAACATTCAGAACTTCAAAACACTGACTTCAGAATTGTGACTTTGAAATAATTTTTAAATAGGAATGATTTTTTCTCCAGTATTTAACTGTCATATTTTATTGTAACTTTTTCTTTGTCTATAGAATAAATATGAAATGTTTCCACAATATTTCAGTCTTTTATTGATCACTTCTTTTAATACATGCATAAATAATTCTACTTTGGTATCCATGTCTCAATAAAAATAGATGTTGCAGTTTAAATATCAATCTTAAACAGTGGTTCACATTTAAAAAGATATCAATAATAGTCATAATTACTTTATTCCATAACTCTATTTTTTTAGTAATAAAATTCACCAAATACAATTCGCAAGAGCTACTCATGGTAAAGTTTGTTTGTTTTACGGTATATCAACCCCAATGGGACATTTAATGCAGACAACTTTTTTTTTCCTGGTAATATTTTTGTTTTATCAAAAATCTATTTCTGTTAATATGTTTTTCCTCAAAAGAGTATAGCTGGTAATATTATTTTTTCGAAAAATGTATAGCTGGTAATATTATTTTTTTCAAAAATGTATAGCTGGTAATATTTTTTCAAAAACATACCACTGGTAATAGTTTTTTTTCAAAAACGTATTGCTGGTAATTTTTTTTTTTTCTTCAAAAAATTATTTCTGGTAATAATTTTTTACAAAGTATTTCTGGTAGTAAAACCTATTTTTACACTTTTATAATGCTTTTTACCTCAGTTTTGGGGTTAACTATTTGCCCATAGCTGGGACCCTAACAGGTGCTACCACTCCGGGTTAGCATGGACCTGAGAACACCAGCAATTAAGAGGTGGTTCCACACTCCTCAAAACTTCCTGATCAGAGGCCTTGCTGTTGGACATAGTTTATCATCTTACCCAGGACACGGATGTAGTTTATCATCATACCCAGGACACGGATGTAGTTTATCATCATACCCAGGATGCTCATGGTAAAGTGTTACTGAATGAGATATATGGTATAAATTTAAGTGGAGGTAGAAGGAAGTGAAAATTATGAAGATAAGAAGAATAGATAGCAACTGACCCTTGACTTTGAAAGGTTAAGATTGCAGTGATCAGTGAAGCATAAGTGTGGGAGTTCCACAAAGAAGGGAAAAAGTCTGAGTGGAACTTCCTCCTTACAAATGGTATATAGAGCAAATGTGGGTGATTCAACTTCATGGGTGTAACATGGCAAATCTTAGCTGTAATGGACTGGACTGATAGAATTAAAGCTCATTTGAATATTTGCCATAGAAATAGTGATAGAGTAACAATAGGCTTGCAAATGTTATGTCTGTGGGAAAGAGGCTGCAGAGTGAAAAAATAAATCTCTGACAAGACCATGTAAATGTTTTTAAACTATCAGGCTTGAAAGTGAGGATTTTGCATCCCCAGCCCAGACAATACTTCTTTTTTAACCGATTTGACTCTTTTAAAGATAATACTGCATGTTTATTATCTGAGAAACATATCATAAATATATCATGTAAATCTTCTAATGACCCCCCCCCTTTCCTAAAATGAGACTATTTTAAGAATGTGAATTGAATGATTCATTTTTTATGACTTAGCAACCCTTTGCAGGTTTTTTAAAGCCACAAAATATTTTTACATTGTTTTTTTTTTGAGATAATAATGATTTAGTGACACATCCTACTAATTAACCCATAGCTGGGGGAAGAAGGAGCTGATCCATAACTTTCTCAAGGGTATTTGCACATAAGTGAATATAATGAACCCAACAGGAATTGGAACTCAGCTCTGTGATTAACAATTCCAAGCCATTATTCATTACATCACCAACATATCTAAGCTTACTATAACTGGTATTCTCAAGTGATCACCCCTCTACGTACTGACCAGGTTCAACTTTTCTTAACTTTGGTGATCATATGAGAACCAGTTTCAACAAGATGAACAACTAGACTAGACACACAGATTATTTGATTTGATTATAGTGAGGAAAGTTTATGTAGAACCAGCCACAATTTTTAGAAGGACTATAACAGACAAATGGCACCACAAAGTCTCCAAACAGCTTGCCTCAATTATGAATTCAGTGTTCCTTCTCTTAAACAGAGATAATAATTATTTAGTGATACACGTCTTACTAATTAACCCATAGAGGGGGGAGAAAGCTTTCCCAAGTGTATTTCTGTATGTGAATATAATGAACCCAACTGGAACTGAAACTCAGCTCTCTGATTAACAATTCCATGCCATTATCCATTTCACATGCAAGTTGAAAGCACCTAGTATTCTCAAGCAGTCATCCATCCAAGTACTAACCAGACTCAACAATGCTTAACTTTGGTGATCATATGGGAACCGATAATATGTTGCCATAAACCTAGTATTTTAAGAAGAGTTGTATAAGCTTTTTATTCCTGAATCCATTGTCCTATAATGCTATTATAAAAAATCTATGATTGAATTATGAAACAGTTAAAATTCTTATAATGCCATCAAATAAAAGAACGTTTTTGGTGTGTATTATTGTTATTCCTACTAATTCTGATAGACTGACTAGCAAGTCACAGGCATAGCATCATTGCACGAGAGAAGTACTTGTACAAATGGTAAAGGAAACTATTGATTTATTCTTCTTGAAAGTTTGGCAGAGATTCAGTCTTGCCAATGTGAAGGCATCCCTGAGAGCCCAGTGAATAATCGAAGACAGAAAACTGATAATCTTTAATCTGCTAAAATCTCTTTTCATCTTTGGTGTCATTTTTTACCCCAGCAGGGAAAATACTCAACAGTCCTCAAAAGACATAGGCAATATTATTTATCAATAAAATATCTGTTGTTATTTATAGCATTAAAATATCTGTAAACTACCATTGGAAGACTAACCATCATCTCAGAGATTTTTCAAACAGTACAGAAAATGAATAAAGCTGACAAGTGTAAGTTCTTTATCAAATACCACAGTAGTTAGGCTCATTATCACTAATGGATAAATTGTCCTAGGTATGATGATGATAAACTACTGATCACGAGATTAGAGGTTTTGAGAAGAGTGAAAACCACCTCTTAATTGATGTTGTTCCTTGGTCCACTCTGACCTGGAATGGTAGCACCTGTTAGGGTCCCAGGTATAGGCAAAAAGTGACCCCCCCCTACAAACAAAAATCAAAAGTACATATATGTATAATTATATATATATATATATATATATGTAAATTGCATGCATATATATATATATATATATATATATATATACATGTGTATGTATATATATATATATATATATATATAAATTGCATATATATATATATATATATATATATATATATATATATATATATATATGCATTCATCTTCTATCCGTCTGGATTTTTTTTTTTTTAAAATGGGGTAGGTCACAAACTGACATCATTCTAACTAAATATGTTAGCTCTATCACTAATATTGAGCACTTTCCAATAAGTACCATGCATATATAATATATATAATATATATATATATATATATATATATATATATATATATATATATAAATTGCATATATATATATATATATATATAATATATATATATATATATATATATATATATATATATATATATATATATATATATATATATATATATATATATATATATATATATATAGGAGGCATAAATGGAGTAATGGATAGCGGCTTGGATTGAGGAATCACAGAGCCGAGTTCGAATTCCAGTCGAATCCATTACATTCACTTCGTGCTAATACCCTGGGAAAGGTATGATTCCTCTTCCTCTTCCTCCAGCTATGGGTAAAATAGCAGGAACAGACTGGGTTCTATAGCCTTGGATGGCAACTGGTCTAGGAGAAGGACAATACTGAATTCAAAACCTGCAGAGGGTCATTTGGGAACCTTGTGGCACTCGGTGCACCAGGTCTCTGCATTCATCCCTTAAAAAAAGTGTGGATGGTCTTGCACGAAGCCTTCACCACTATAATCAAATCTCATGTGCCAGTGTCCGGCTGTCGGTTTCTTGGAAACTGATCTGCTTGACCTTCATACGTCGAATCTCGACAGGAGAGTCGACTATATATATATATATATATATATATAATTGCATGCATATATATATATATATATATATATATATATATATGTATGCAATTATATATATATATATTATATATATATTATATATGCATGGTATTTATTGGAAAGTGCTCAATATCAGTGATAGAGCTAACATATTTAGTTAGAATGACGTGAGTTTGTGACCTACCCCATCTTAAGGAAAAAAAAAATCGTATAGATGTGTGAATGCATATGCATACGTTTATGTGTGGGTGAGAGAACATTATTCCACAAACAAAATAAACAATCTATAAATTGACACTGCCACTTGGAAAAAAATTTGCTACACAAATCCAACATTGAATACAGTGACTAATTACATATGTATGCATGCAACAACACAAGGACGTGCATATATGCCCAGTCCCACACTGTTCATATATGTTTATGTTTGTGTGAGCTGCAATGTGTCAATATGTGAGTCTGCATATGTATGAGTAGCATTCCGACAACAATTTTTCCTCCCACTACCATAAAACACCAATATATGCAACCATGAATAAATCCAAAATTTCAAAATTAATCAGTTTGTCTGATTATCACAAAGAGCGTGAGACTCAGGGCCACAAACTCAAATCAATATATATATATATATATATATATATATATATATACCAGCAGTACCTGGAAAAATGTCAGTGTTTCCAATTTTAAATTTCTTATGTATCACAATATTTAATGAACAAATAAACCTATTGCAATTTTCATGGCAATAAAATACCTGTAGATATTTCCTTATTACATCATTAAATATTTGAGCTTAACAACTTTGAACAAATATTGCAATAACAATCATACATATGAATACTGATCATTATTTTAATAAGTAAGAGGATACAAATGAAAAGATTTCAAATTGACAAGATTTTCTATTTCACAGAGGCAACATTATTGATTCCTCTATTTTTCTTTCATTCTTTTTTCTCACTTAAATTGGTTAGTTGATTCTGTTTAGTGGCCTGTCAAACTCTATGGATTTTTTTATGCTGAAATCTACATATTTTGAACACAATTTTATTGCTTCAAATACAGATAAAATATATAGTTGGTAATTTTCCTATAAATATGGTATTGTTGATAATATTTTTATATAAAAATGTATTGCTGTTATTTTTACTATAGAAATGTATTTTTATACTTTCATAGTGTTTTGTCTTTTTTCAGGAGGTGGGGGGGTCACTATTTGCCCATAGCTTAGACTCTAGCAGGTGCTACCACCCCAGGTCAGGGTGAACCTGGGAGTAACAGAAATTAAGAGATGGTTCCATGCTCCTCAAAAAACTCCAGTCTCCTGATCAGAGGCCTTTCTGCCAGATGTAGTTTATCATTACACCCAGGATTTCTCACTTAAACAGTGTCTCTTATATGTTTCTCTATCTTTCCACATAATGAAAACAATAGTCCATTATTTATGGGGTATTGGCCGGATGTAACAGTTTTGCTAACTAAGAAATTAAGAAACAAGTAGAATTATAATATTTTATTGTTGATATATTTAAAAGGAATTATATTAAATTCAACGAAAAAAGGAAAAATAAAGTGCTGTGTAAATTTCATTTCTCTAATATTCAGCAAAAGACAACATTGTGAACTCTTACTTCAACCTAGTGTTTCTACACATTCAAATATTAAATAACAAAACAAATCATTTGATAGGGAATATTTTTTAATATCAACTTTCTGGATTTATTCAGTTTTGTCCTACATCTTTCTTGAAATGACTTTGAAAATCAATACTCAGCTTGCCAATAAGAAAAAATAATTCTATTCAATCAACCCAGAAAAGTGACAAATATTCTTGCTTATATTGTATTATAAAACAACAAGAATTTTGTAGTCTTCACACCAGAGAATTAAAATCTGAAGAAATAGGAAATTGGCGCCAATTTTGACACCTTATGAAAATGTAGATTGTTAAAAAGGTATTTGAAGGTGAGCAGCACTTGACATCATCTCAGGTGTTGAAATATCAAATTAAGAGAAAAGGTTCCTATTTCAAAATTACATTAAACCAGTTTGCTTTATGAACCACATTTCTATACTTTTACATAGATTTAATGATGTTCTACTTTGCCTACAAGAAAGTGGTTGAATCTGAGTTTTGGTGCAGTTCATTATTGTTTAACACACAAAAAGACTTTTCTCATGTGTTATCATGCAAACAGACAGACCTTGTTTAAATAAATTCTTGCTGCCAAAATAAACTATATATAAAAGTGCTCATAAATTTAAGACATTGAAAAAAAAATTGATACAAAAGGTTGATTTCACAAACTTCAAACTGAGACAGTATTCAATTTTTTAAATTTAATTTTGTAGAAAAAAAAAATTTATTCATAACTCAACAGCCCTTAAGTTTCAGGATTGAGACAAATACATGAATACTGCTTATGTCACCAGGACTGACATCTTAAACCAGAACATATGGTGAGCCTCACTGAATAAATAGTTTTAGTTTATATGTAAATTTTTAAAGATTATAATTATCAGGGATGCAAGAAATCAGGAGTGAGTTCCATAAGTGGGAAGAAAAGAAAATGTTAGAGTAGAAGTGACAGTTATATCTAGATAAGTCAACAGTAAAATAGTGAAACTTAGTAGTACCCTTAAATTCATATAGTTGGGGCACACCATGGAAATAAGTTCATCAGAGAAGTTACCATGAAACTATTTGTAGAAAAAAAAGCACAGCACATCAGTAAGAAAGTGACTGAAGTCAAGATGCCTTGTTAGGAACAATTATTTTACAGAACTTTCTTTCAATTTTTTTTCAAGAATGCAAAGATGTACAGCAAGAACACCAGACCAGAGAACGAAGTTTATGGGTGGTGTGGCTGAGTGTAGGATTAGCTGCAGATAATTATGTTGGGGTAGGTTACTTAGGAAACTAAGAGTGAGATATTGTTTAAGTTTTAAGTTAGTATAAAACAAAATATCCCATACCAGAATAAAGTTGAGTGGGGGAATTAAAACTTATCATATGAGTAAAGATTTTTCAAGCGTAGCTTAGATGTGGCACAAGGCCAAAAGCAAGGGGCATCCAGTGAGGATCGAACTCACTTTTCAGAAGTAACTAACCTAGCAAGACAAGCTTGCTAACCATTGCCCAAACTTATCATATGAGTATGAGATGCCTCTGAACAAATCCTGCTTGAGCATTAGCAATGTATTTAGTAGAAGACTAAGCCGTGAGACAGTCACACCCATAGTAGATGCATTCATAAATAAATTGAATTGTTCAGAAATACAGC